AAGCTGTTTCAGGGTCTTTTCCCTGTGAATGGCATGTCTTGGCTCATGCTTCAGACTTTGCTAAAATATCTCAAATGAGCAGCATCTGGCCTCAGTGTGCCCTGTACCTCTCACTAAGTGGTCCCTAGCCGGCACTAGCAGTAGCCACCCTTGGTTTGCAGCTTGGTCTCACCTGGGCACCTCCAAGACCAACACAAATAGCCATTTGCAGATTGCTTTGCAACTCATGCCAGGTGGCCCCAGGCAGAAAACAGGTGGCAGTCAGAACACAGGCAGTGGCTGACCTTGGCCTGCACTTCTCTGAAGACCCCAGACTCAACACATCCAATGGGCAGCTTTAGACCATGATGAAGCACCACCCAACCACTTTCACAAGCAACACACTCAAGAGGCAGACTCAGCCCTATTTGTTTTGGCTCAGTGGATAGAGCATCGGCCTGTGGACTGAAGGGTCCCAGGTTCAATTCCGGTCAAGGGCACATGCCCGGGTTGCGGGCTCAATCCCCAATAGGGAGCATGCAGGAGGCAGCTGATCAATGATTCTCTCTCACCACTGATGTTTCTATCTCTCTCCCTCTCCCTCTCTGAAGTCAATAAAAATATATTAAAAATAAATAAATAAATAAAAGAGGCAGACTCAGTGGGAACTAGAGCCCCACTGAAGTAAGTCCTGCTGTGGGGCGGGTCCCAGCATAGCTAATCCTCCATGGTGGTAGGTAGTTGCAGCGAGTCCTTGCAGACGATTGGGCTGCAGGGTAAGTCCCTCCCATTGATGTGCCAACAGCAATGAAGGCTCAACTGCAAAAGGAAGGTGTACATAGCCCACATGGGAGTGCACCTGGAGTGCCCAGCTTGGGTGATTGGGGAAGCTGTGCCACTGGATTCTGCAGAACACCTAGTACGTAAGGCCTCTCTATGAAGCAGCTCTACCTAATTCATAGAAACAAATACAAAGAAGCTACCAATATCAGAAGACAAAGAAATGTGTCCCAAATGAAAGAACAGAACAAAACTCCAGAAAAATAACTAAACAAAATGGAGACAAGCAATCTATTAGATGCAGAGTTCAAAATACTGGTTATAACAACGTTCAATGAACTTAGAACTTCAACAGCATAAAAAAGGGCATGGAAACCATTAAAAAGAACCAGTCAGGCCCTAGCTGGTTTGGCTCAGTGGATAGAGCACTGGCCTGCGGACTGAAGGGTCCCAGGTTCGATTCCGGTCAAGGGCACATGCCTGGGTTGCAGGCTCAATCCCCAATGGGGGGCATGCAGGACGCAGCTGATCAATGATTCTCTCTCATCATTGATGTTTCTATCTCTCTCTCCCTCTCCTTTCCTCTCTGAAATCAATAATAATAATAAAAAAAAAAAGAACCAGTCAGAGCCTGGCCGGCGTGGCTCAGTGGTTGAGCATTGACCTATGAACCAGGAGGTCATGGTTCGATTCCTAGTCAGGGCACATGCCGGGGTTGTGAGCTTGATCCCCAGTGTGGGGCAGGCAGGAGGCAGCTGATCAATGATTCTCTCTCATCATTGATGTTTCTATCTCTGTCTTCCTCTCCCTTCCTCTCTGAAGTCAATAAAAAATATATTTAAAAAAAAAGTACCAGTTAGAAATGAAGGATAAATGAACTGAAATGAGTAATTTACAGGTAGTTACAATAGAGAAGATGAAGCCAAGAAATAAATCAGTGATTTGAAATATAAGGAAGCAAAAAACATGCAATCAGCACAGCAAAAATAAAGTAGAATCCAAAAAAATGACATTATAAGGAGCCTCTGGGACAACTTCAAGTGTACCAACATTCACATCATGGGGGTGCCATAGGAAGAAAGAGAACAAGAGAGATTAAAAACCTATTTGAAAAAATAATGACAGAAAAATTCCCTAACCTGGTGAAGGAAATACACATACAAGTCCAGGAAGTGCAGAGTCCCAAAACAAGATGAACCCAAAGAGGCCCACACCAAGACATACCAAGACACATCATAATTAAAATACAAAAGGTTAAAGACAAAGAGAGAATCTTAAAAGTAGCAAGAGAAAAGTAGTTACCTACCTACAAGGGAGCTCAGCTGATTTCTCAACAGAAACTTTGCAGGTCAGAAGGGATTGGCAAGAAATATTCAGCCCTAGCCAGTTTTGCTCAGTGGATAGAGCATCAGCCTGTAGACCAAAGGGTCCCAGGTTCGATCCTGGTCAAGGGCACATACTTTGGTTGCAGGCTCCTCAGGCCCTGGCCCTGGCCCTGGTCAGAGGCAACCAATAGATGTGTTTCTCTAACATCGATGTTTCTCTCTGTCTTTCCCTCTCTCTTTCACTCTCCCTAAAAATCAATGGAAAAAATATCCTCGGGTGAGGATTAACAACAACAACAAGAAAAAACAAACAAACAAAAAAACCCCAAAAAACAAACAAAGAGAAATATTCAAATTGATGAAAAGCAAAGACCTACAACCAAGATTACTCTACCTAGCAAAGCTATCATTTAGAATTGAAGGACATATAAAGAGCTTTCCAGCAAGAAAAAGCTAAAGTAGTTCCTCACCACCAAACCAGAATCAGTATTACATAATATGTTAAAGAGTCCTCTGTAAGAAATTTTAAAAAAGATAAAAAATATGAACAATAAAATGGCAATAAATACATATCAATGACTGGATCTAAAAAACAAAGTAAAAAAGTGGAACAGAAACAGACTCATAGATACGGAGAACATTTTGATGTTTGCCAGATGGGAGGGGGATGAAAAGATGAAGGGATTAGAGGTACAAACTGGTTGTTACAGAACAGTCACGGGGATGCAAAGTACTGCATAGGGAGTATATTCTAATCACTGTGTATAGTGTATGGATTCCTAGGATGATCACTTAGTGAGTTATATAATGTCCAATCCCTGGGGTGTATGCCTGAAACGAATACAATATTATATATGTCGATTTTAATTGAAAAATAAAAAATGACTTAAAGGACACCTTGAAACTAGCACACTAGCAAAAAACCAGATATATTTGCAACTGATTTAAAAAGTTGGTTAATAATTATTACATAGAGTTTATATGAGAGAAATAAGGTCTTCACAAAGACAAAAGTCCCAATTATTAAATGAGAAAAGCACATGAAAAAGAATGTTAAGAAAAATACAAATGGTAAGCAAATACAAAAAAAATGTACAGCTTCATAAAAAGACAGATTATTTTTACTCAACAAATTAACAAAACCCCCAAACTGATATTCAGCTTTGGCTGGGGCAAGAGAGACAACCTCTTAAAAAGCAGGATGTCCCAGAACTCTTTGGGAAACAAACTTCAGCCTAAGAAATAATCATAGATGTAGACTTCATATGTAATGTAATAACATTACATTATTAATTGTAATGTTATTTATATTAAAACAAAATCTAATAGGAGACACATTTCCTCTGTAAAATAAACCATATACCCACAGCACTTATGCATCAAATTATAAAGAACATACCTATTATAAGACATTTATAATCCTACCCTACTTCAATCTGTAGTCATAGCCAATGGAAACCAAATAAAATATACAAAAAAGAGCTAAACCAAAATGGCAACTAAAATTGTCAGGGTAATGGGATATGAGTAATATTTTTCTCTTTATTTTTTTCTTGTATGTAATAAATTTTGCATCGTGACAATGATTTACTTTTATAGCCAGGGAAAAATACTGTAACATCAAAATGGCTAAGTTATAAACTTTTAAATGTCAACTCCTTACTTTTCATGTTGCTTTCACAGCTGGAGTTTTTTTGGACCTTAACTTGAAGTATAAAATCAGCAAAGCAATGCTTCCATATGTAGCCATTACACACTGAAAAAGAACGGAAGAAGTAAAGAGGATATACTGTCACACTTATATAATTCTAAAATATAACTGCTTAAAGGTATCTTTAATACTTACATTCATTCTACCTGTGAGAGTATAAGAGTTGAAATATTTTTTGATACCAGTGAACTGGAATTGGGCATCAGCTTCTGGACCTGCCATGATTTCAATCTTTAAAAAAAAAAGAAAGAAGGCAACAATAAATTGGTTTGGAGGTAATTTTATTTTATTTTATTTTATTTTATTTTTTTTTTTTTTTAAATATTTTATTGATTTTTTTACAGAGAGGAAGGGAGAGGGATAGAGAGTTAGAAACATCGATGAGAGAGAAACATCGATCAGCTGCCTCCTGCACACCCCCTACTGGGGATGTGCCCACAACCAAGGTACATGCCCTTGACCGGAATCGAACCTGGGACCTTTCAGTCCCCAGGCCGACGCTCTATCCACTGAGCCAAGCCGGTTACGGCTGGAGGTAATTTTAAAAATACATTTTTTTTAGTTTAAAAATCGGAAGTCACTGCATATAAATATTGTAAATTTTTACGTATGTCTTGCCCAACATAGATTAGCAAAGCTGGTGAAAAAAGCCTCACTGATAAGAGAAACTTTTGGAAGGAGAACTTTACCTTGGTTGCTTTTACACAACACTCCAGAATGTATGTCAAATCATTGGGCATAGGAAAAGAATAGTCTCTAAGTCTACCTTCTGATGCAATATTGCTTGATGTTTTCAATTCTGGCTCTATCAATACCATGGTACAATGTAGTTGGAATTAATCAGTTTAAAAAAGTTAATCTGTTTTAAGAAATCATTTACTAAATGGAGTTGATACATAGTAGCTAATGGTGGTAGGGAAGCTGGAATCCTTATTTCTTACACAACAATAGATAACAGATTTAAATGTAAATAGTTAATACTTTAAGCAATGAAGAAAAAGAATAAATAAATAAATAAATAAATAAATAAATGTAAATAGTGAAAACCAAGCCCTGGCCAGGTGGCTGGTTAGGTGGAGCATCGGCATAGTCCTGTAAAACAAAGGTTGCGGGTTTGGTTCCAGGTTGGGATGCATAAGGGAGGCAACCGATCAATGTTTGTTTTTTCTTTCTTTCTTTCTCTTTTTCTCTATCTCCCTTCCTCTCTCTAAAATCAATAAATATATCCTTGGGTGAGGATTAAAAAACATGGGCAAATATTTTAATCATCTTAGGTCAAGGAAATCAAAAGAACAGCCCTAGCCAGTTCGGCTCAGTGGATAGAATGGTCGGCCTGCGGACTGAAAAGTCCCAGGTTCAATTCTGGTCAAGGGCACATGCCGGATTGCGGGCTCGATCCCCAGTGATTCCCTCTCATCATTGATGTTTCTATCTCTCCCTCTCCCTTCCTCTCCGAAATCAATAAAAATATATTAAAAAAATAAAAAGAACAAAAGGGCAAAACATAAAAAGATAATCAGCCTCAAGATCAAAGAAATGTAAAATGAAGCCATATTTAGCAAACTAGCAAAGATAAAATTATGATAATAAGCAGTAGTAAGATTGTTGGAAAATAAACATTTTCTTTGTTACCTAGAGTGTAAACTGGTACAACTTCCTAAAGTGCATTTTTGCATTATCTATTAAATTATAAAATTAGTATACCCTTTTATCTAGCTGGTTCATTTGTTCTCCAGGAATTTACCCTTCTAGAAATATTACAAAGTGGAAACATGCTACATGGATGAAGGATGGTGACAGAAATACTGTTTATGAAAGTAAACTGGAAAAACTAAAAGTCCACCTACAAGAAATTGATAAATGATGGTTTCCATTGGAGGAAATACAATGTGTGTAGATCTTTATTTATTTACGTACTGACATTCAAATTATGTCCCCAGGTAAGTTAAATTAAAAAAAAAATCCTACTTCTGAATATTGTATTATAGAGCACATCAATG